CATTCATTCCAAGCCCATGCGCAGACTAAAAAAAAAAAAATTTCCACAAGGAAATTATAGCAGATGGAAATTAAATGAAAAATTAGGCAGTCTGGTAACAGCTTATTTAAAATCAATGTTGTATCAATCAATGCATCTACGAAGAGTCCAAGATGACTTCTGCACAAAAAATTAAAATTGTGCAATATAAAGCCTTTCTCAAAATGACTATTTAACAGTCTCCCCATACTTCACAACACACCAAAAGACAGTACATTAGAGATCTGAGGCTAGGCTCATGTTGCCAGTCACAGGGCAAACTCTGGAATAAGTGACAATTAGTGAGTGTCAGAAGTGAGATGGCACTTCAAACACAGACGCTCATAATTCTGTCACTACAATAACTAACAATTTTAGTTGTGAACTGAACATCCACTTTAATTTTTATGAAAAATGACTTCTAGGAACCATTTAGATAAATGGCACATTAAGATACCAAGAGGAATTAGAGAACAGTTTAAGACTATCAGGGATTTAAGTACACCTCCCTCTCCCCATCTGCCCTCCCTGAAAAGGCACAGACACACACACCAAAGTACAATTTTCACAATGCCAGTAACAGAAAAGAGAGGAAAACTTTAATTTCTTTGGAAACATTAGTACTCACTAGAATATATTCAGCAGCTTCATTTGAAGGACCAGTTTTCCTAAAGCTTTCTTCCTGAAAATGCTGAAGGTTTGTAGGTAGTGCAATACCAGAAGTCCGAAACCTGCCTGTCCCACAGGAACTCTGCAAACTTTCCCTGTTTGTGCTTCGGGCCAGCGAAGCCAGAAATCCTAAGTTGCTTACAGAACTCATAGGTTCTTTGGACGCCTTGTTTGCCACATCTGTGATGTCCCTAGCTTCTGCTTTAGAAATTACATCAGGTCTTTTGCCAAGTGACTCTACTTTCACGCTACAAAATCTAGTAGTCCTAGAAAAAGAGGAGTCTGGTATACTACGGATTTCCAATGATCGAAGCACATTTGAGGAGGCTGTAGATCTCAAATTACCAGCCTCAAAGCATTTGGGTTGTGTTTGTGGTTTCAGAGAACTGTGACGTGCCACTTGTGCTGAGTACCGAAGAGGTGACAAAAGCAGATTTTTCTGTGGACTTAATTCATGAGTACTGAGAAGACCAGCCCCCATTGCTGCAGCACTGAGCACTTTGCTGATAGGTTTTCTGTGCTGCTCTACAACCTTAGATTCTTCGTCTCCATCAGACAGTTCAAGTTCTGGGTTCACCTTTCCTATGTCATATATCTCACTACACTGTTCAGTGGTGCTTGCTTCTGTTAATGACGCAAAAGCATCTGTTTCCGGTAGAAGTTTTTCTTCTGTTCCATACAGTTCTACATTTGTTAGATTTGGAAAAAAAACAGCATCCTCCTCACTTGTTGAGGTCACACTTTCAGATACTTTTTCTGAATTCGCAGGCAGAGACGAAACAGGAGTCAGAATACTATTTGTTGGTAGTTTTGCATTTTCTAGGTCAACACGAGATATTTTCGGTGGTAATCTGATGCTACTAACCGACTGAGACCAAGAGTTGCTCTGCCAAGTGTCATCTTCCTCAAGAAAGTCATTCGTTGTGGATGGCATTGTTCTACCAGCAGTGGCCAAAGTAGCCAATGCTGAAAGTGCATTTTGAGAAGACTCTGAGGGATATGAATTCCCAGGAGGAGGTAGGCAGGACTGTCCAATATGGGGGAGCACTCTTAAAAAGCGGTGACGAGCAGCAGCCATTGAGCCACTAGATGGTCGAGGAGCCATTGGAGGACGAGGTTTCACCTTGACAGTTTTCTTAGGCTATTAAAAAACCCACAAAACCCACACGGAACAACAATTAATATTTGAATTACGGTTGCATTCAAAGAGCTGACTGAGATAATATTCCCAGAAATTCCGACAGTGTAAGGCCAGAAAGGACCAAATCATTCTTCCTACTCCCTCACCTGTTACTAGCCATCAAGTTTCACCCCAACGTCTGAATAATAAAAATCAAGTATTATAATCAGAAAAGGCTTTTTAGTAAATAGACCATATGTCAGAAGAATAGAAAAGGGAAGCCAGAATGCCAAAGTTATCCAGAAAAGCTTAACGTCTCAAACAAGACCAGCACTGACAGAAAGTATATCATCTTCATTTTACAACTAGATAATCTAGTAGAGACATGAAAATCAATACAGTGGTTTATCTTCTAGGTAATCTCACTCTTTTATTTAACTTAAAGGGCTTTTCAGTTACAGTATTTCTAATGAAGTTTTGTTTAAGAGAATCACTGATTTTTACCAGAGCAGTATTGCCAACCAACAATGTGCTACTTACAGCATAGGAAGAAAAAACAAAAAAACCCACACATCCAAAAAACCACCCATGCAAATAAATCCAGAACCTGTAGTGAATTCTTTGAATGTGGACAGGCAGAACCAAGTAAAGCCAATGCCCCATAGCACAACTTGTATACAATAGTATTTACTTAAACAACAGATAAGAAATCATCTATCGTTGATCACCTCACTTCCCAAAGACAGCAAAGTGTCTGACCTGCGCTTCAGAAAAGCCAGCACTAGGAAAGTACAAGCCATTTTATGATAGAAAAGAAACAACTTCACCTTTTTACTCAGATTCATGCTTTCCATCTTTGCCTTTAGTAGTTTCATTTTATTCATAGTAATTGAATTCTCAATAATCTGTTGTCCAGAAGGTGATGCCTCTGTCTCATCTTCATCATCAGCATATAAGTTATAAACAGAACCACCGCTGAAAATAAAAGGAAGTTTGTGTTCACCCTCTAATATAGTAATTTATTGATATTTTCAGTGTATTCTCACAACTAGTAAGTCATATCCGCAGCTGATCTGTTGACAAAGCATAATGTAATACTGTATGCAAAGACATGTCAAATGCATTTATTTTAGCAGATAAGCATTCCTTATTAGATGCTCACACAAAGTGATGATGCTGAAATCATAACATAGCCACACTTCTGGGAAGCTGTTATACCATATACAGTTGGTTCACACTCACTATATATTTTCCCCACAGAGGGGATATCCAGTTCCACAAATGTCTCCTGAAGGCATAGCTAAAGCTGTTAACTGTGTGGCTCAGACAACAAGCTGATCAGTTTTTCAATTAACCAGACACTGGCATGGAAGGAAAGTCCAAATTTCTATCCATCCTGAGGGGTGTTCTCAATATAAATGGAAATGGAGGGGTCACCCATGTGGATGTGATATTCTATTTCTCCTTTTCAAAATAATAAAAAATAAATAAATAATTAAAGGATCAGTTTAGGTTTCCAAAGAGCCTCACATTTGGAAAAAAAAAACCCTAGAATTGCTAGACCGAAGACAAAATATTTAACTCAGTAGTCACTGAAAATTTATAGCATTACATTTCCTTTTCCATTCTGTATTCTAACAACACAAAAACTCCATGTTTTAAAGTCGGTTCCTGACTTGTTTTTCCTAAGAAGCATTAATCACTAACACACATCCAACATTTGACAGTGGAAGAACCATTACGAGAGTCCAATTCATTACAAACTGATGCATTTTCAATGCTCTATATTGTATATTTTAAAGAATGTTTTAATCCTTCCATTAGGCTGTCAGCATCTACAAATCATGACAATCAGGCATGTGTTCATACAAATGTCTTAGTAGATTTCACTGAATTTTCTACTTTCCAAGAGACCAAGGAAGAACTAAAGGTCATAAGAAAGCCAGAAAAAAAGAAAAAAAAACCCCACAAATTAGAGCTGGCATTTTACCCAGTAACTGGAAATATTCCACTGCCTGTAGTCAAGAACCAGTATTTTTGCACTGACTCTCCAAATCCATTTCCTACAATGTAGCAAATTCCAAAGGCAGCACAGCTGGGAGACAGATCTTTAAGAGCGTGATGTCAGTAAATTCAAAGTAAGATAGTCCAGTCATTTCTTACAGAGAACTGAACAGCTCCGTATGGGGACAGTCAGCATGCATATGACATACCTCTCCTGGTAAAGATTCAACACTAAAGAATCATTTCAGAATTTTAACTCTGCAAAGACTTAAGTCACCAACTCAGATAATTCTCCGAACTTCCTTTCCTTCAAGGTAAAAACAGAAAGAAAAGTAACGTGTTTCACATATTTGGCAGTGTGGCAATGTGAGAAAAGCTGATAAATGAGTGCCTCAAAATGCTGTCACCAGTATACCCATACATGTAAACATATCTAACTGTCCTTCTGGAAAACACTAGTACTGAGAGTGATGCATAGTGTTCCTCTATAAAGATCAAATGAAAAGGTCTCATTTGTTTCCCTTCGCTACTTTTTCCATTTCCCATCGTCTGCCAGGACATAACAACAAATTAAAAAATTAAGATTTCTTCCCTTCCCCTCACTCAATTCCTATCTGCCTTAGTAGTAAAGCTAATAAATGAACTCCCATAGAAAGCACAGAAGTAGAGAAACAGCTTGAGCTGAATGTTTTCAACTCAGGTGGCTTCCAACCTAACTGGGTTTGACCAGCGACAGCACATTTCTGAAGCATAACGTATTTGACTTTTACACATGTTGTCGTGCTTTGAAAGGCTTATGAAGGTACCTTTCAAGAGCAAAAAGAGTGTGGTTTATTCCTCCAGTTTGCTACATTTAGCCAATTGCAAGTAAATTACTATTTAATCTATAGGATTACCTAATTGAGATGTACAAAGAATTTCAGATAATCGTCCATGCTAGTTTTAAATGAAAACCAGAAAATCGTCACACACAAACAAAAATCTGAGCACATATGCAGATATCAGGGATCCCATTATAGTGAAAAAATTAAGTTCAAGCTCCTTCTGACAACTTCTTGCATGAACTCACAGTAGAGCATCCACAGTCCTAGTGCTGTGTAGTAGTCTGGATGTTCTTTGGATTTGGAACAAAAGAACAATTTGATAATAAGCAGGGTGTCAGTGAGAACAGAAATTACATCTGCTGTTCTTCCCAGACATGTATTTAGGCCAATGCAGCAGAAGGTTCTCAGTTCTCACTGATGATAGTGGGTTTTACCTATTTCAAATTACACACGATACCATATGTGGCCCTTTTATTAAGAGAGCACAGGGTCTGAAAGATCACAGATCTAAAAATACTTATCTTTCCTCTTCTTTCCCTCCAGTAACTGCATATCAAACGTAAGCTCTTTCTAGTCTGTGTAACAATATGAGAATTCAACCTTGATATTTCATTCAGCTTATAGTTTTAAAGTACAGATCTCTTACAGATGCTTCTAAGAATATTATCACTCTGAACCCACTAAGTCTTACATAACATAAACACAGTACAAAGCTTTTGAGTTCACTTTGCAAACAGGAACAAGAATAGTTACTTAGAACAGTGCAAGCCTTAGTCTCAGAGAAAATGCAACTAGTCCCGAACAGGGACTCCTTTCCTTACAGATGCACAAATATTAAGTTCTTCAAGGGATAAAAAAACCCACCCAAAAGTTGCAGTATAAAGACAGACTCTAGTAACTTTTAATAGGTATTACCAGTTTTGATACCTTCAGGAAAAAACTAGTAATCTGTTTACTGCAATGTAGTAGGTTAAGTGACATACTTGTTCCTCTGATAACAGAACTTTGATTTTGTGGCGGTGATTGAGACAAGTTTGGTATCTCAACAGTAGCTAATTTGAGGACCAGGTATGTCCAAAGGCTAGCTCTACTGGTAATTATTTCATTATGTTAAAAAAAAAACACCAACCAAACAACCCAAAATAAAACAAAACCCAAAACCAAACCCCCCCTCAAGTTTTTCTGAAACTTCAGACAAACTCTCCTATTTGCACTGCCAATCTACTATCTTCCTGATTAATCATGTAGTCAAGTCATATACATGCAAATAAGAAAGTTTATGCTGGGAACAGAGAAACGTTTATAAAACTAAACAAATGCCTGAAGATGGAAGAAAACGTCCTTAAATTTTTTAATATCTTTATTGCCAAATTGACTCTTGCTCCCTTTTAGAAAGGGCTGGAACGTTGAGAATTGCCTGAAGCACTAATTGGGCTTTATCTCCCCCTGCTGACACACACAGTGACAGACCACTGTCAACAAAGTACTGTATTGTTAGGCCACCCAGTTCCAGCATTTTAGTAGTCCTTCAGGCACAATTCTTGCAATATTCCAGATACTCTTTTGACAAAGTCAACAAATAAAGCTGAAAATTATACAGCATCCCCCTTGGAAGAATCATATGAAGATTAAAATCAACTTTACCTCAAAGACTCAGATAACGGTGTTAAAGTGCCATCTCCCCGATCCACCACACGGAAGAAATTCAACTGATCTCCTTCTCGATATACTAAGAAGGTAACTTGTCTGTTGGATGGCCCTTTCTCCCAGATCTCATCTCTACTGGGATCCAAGTATTCAGCCATTTCCCTGATAGGGTCTTCCACAGGAACTACAAAGAAACAGAATAAAACCAAATTATTATTATTACTGTTGTTTTAATCACCTTTGAGATCTCAGCTCAGTTTACAATGGAAACTGCCAACCTAGAAGATATGCTGTTTTCCCACTGAAAATTACAAAGGGAATTTCTCCATTTTCATTCCTCTATAGATGATCCACATAACCAAGTTTATCATCAGACTGAACCAATTCCTGATTCTAACAAGATTTTAAAAACTCTTGGGTAATGATGTTACAGTATCATTTTTTTCTGCAAGCGAAGAATTGCTGATTTTAAGACTTGATGCTATACATACAAAGTTACTAAACTAAAGGTAAACAAAATTAAAAGGATGGTACACTTGGTATGCTAAGGAAGAAAAGATTGAAAACAATACCTCTGTTAAGTATTTTTCCAATTAATTTGGAAATGAAGTCTGCTTGTCTAAAATGCTTTAGCGAAGAGAAGCTGTTTACAGTTACGTTTCATGAAAACCATTATTTTTTAACTAATGAGTTAACACCTACCTCTTCTAGTGTTAATAGGTCCACCTCGCATAGCCAGAACTAACTTCAGAGTGCAGCCTTCTGAAATGCTGTAAATAACAATAAATAATTCTTTGAAGCACTCTATTGCTTATACTAACAATAGCTTAGAAACATTCACTGTAATTTTATTCTATACTTACTTATAATCATTCAAACAATAGTCATCCTTCAGCTCTGTATTATTCCAAATTAAGTGCTGTTGAGAGACAGGGATACCTAAACAAAACAACAACAAGAAGTATTAAAATTGGAGCTTTGGGGGAGAGCTTCTACGGAATTGCTTTTTGAAGAATGTGGGGGTAATGGAGTAGAGGTGAAAAAGAAGATCACAGGGGAAAGAAGAAAGGAAGCAAGACAAGGACAGGCACTTGAGCAGCCTTCAGTCATAATATCCAACCTCCCAAATAGTTATCAAGAACAAAGTTAAGGTTTTCAGCAGGCTTGTGCTGACACTCTGAGTTCAATCTTTTGGCTCAATATAGGGTCTGTAGAAATATTCAGCTGCTGCAGGCTTTTTGAATACTTGCTCTTTTCCAGTCATCAGATGAGGGAGGTTTTTTCCCCCCATTACCTGTATCTCAGAGCTCTGTGTCTACTGATGGAAAAAAAACCAGGATAAACCTTCTAACTACAGACTTGCTAAATAATTGAACCACAGACTAATATTCTGTATTACTCACAGTAAAGATGAGGTTGTATTAAGGTCACTGGTGGCAGCTGTATTATAGTGGTGACAACTGTATATGTGTTTTTATCACTGCTTGGTTTGGAACCCAAAAGTTCACAAGTATAATATAGTACCATAACAGTTACCCAAACTTTGTAATGCACTTGCTTTGTTGTGGGTGTTCTTTTAGGCCACCAGAACATTTTATTACTTATATCCAGTAATACTTCCAACTCAAGTTCTGGGACAGATTTGCCTATTTTTGTTAAAAGGAAGTAAGGATACTGAATATTTCTTTCATATTAAAAATCCATATTCTACCAAATGAATAAATTTGCTTCTTGCCTGCATGGTCAACTCATTTAGATACGGATGTAATACACATTAAAGATAATAAGCATAGCTCGTACAACCCAAGGGCTTCACACATTTTTACTACAATGCTGCCACTTTCCACATTTTGGATGGAGTAAAAACCAGGACTGTTATGAAAGGATAAGACATCTCAGATCACAAAAAACCCAACCAACCAACCAAAAAAACCCACCACCAAAAACAAATAAAACAAAACAAAACAAACAACCCACACCCAACTTAAGGCTCATAGAAAGATGAATAGTTGTCTTTTTTGCCTTTGGGAAAACAAATAAGTAGTCTCTTCAGCATCAAAAAGAAATACTCTTACTCAATTTGTCTGCTGAAATCCAAGTTACCAAGATCTTGCTGGCAT